ACCACAAAACCCTACAGGCATGGACCTGGATGTTCCTTACAGAGACCACAAGAAAGCATGCTGGCTCAGATATCCCTTTATGTTTTGTTTTATTGCCCCTGAATGCATTTCCATCTGCTCTCTGTCCATCCACACTGCAGGGAAGTTGGGGCTGTGTGTTCAACAGGAGCTGGGTGAGTGTTTGGGGCACCGACTGCACTGCAGGGGCAGGACCAGACACCTCCGGTGAAAACATTGGTGTATGGCATCAACCCTCTGCATTGGACTTCTACAGGAGAATTTGGGCTTCAGCCAAACATAATTAAATCAAGAAATGTCTTTTGATTTACTGCAGCAGTCTTTGAATCAGCTTCTAATGAGTACAGGAGTTTTCACTTACATTCTATAGTTGTATGAATATATCTGTATAATTTTATGTGTGTCACCCGTCTGGCTGAGACAAAAAACAGAACACCACTAATTTAATTGTGATTTGTTTTAAGGACCAGAGTTTGAGAGGTAAAATAGTAAAATATTTCTTAGGTAATTGGAGAAAGCTGAAACTACGGACACAAAGGGAATTTCCCTGGAGAGTAAGTTTCTTTCTGAAATGTCAAATTTGGAAGGCCAGCCAAAGCTATTGAGCTAAAACTTAGCAGAGACCCCTTCATGTGGGCAAATACACAAATTCTCAGCCAACAGAAAGCAATGGCTGAGTTTAATGATGTCACCAAATGGTGTGAACACAAGTCCCAAGCAGTCTTTGCATGATCTCCAATAGCCACTCAAAAAACTGCTGCTGCCAGGCCCAGCTCCATCCTCCTGGCAGCAAGAAGAGTCCCTTCAGGAAGCTGACCACCGCTCAGACATCAGCCCACATCAAATCCCCATCCCTGCAGGCATTCAAGGCCAGGCTGGATGTGGCTCTGGGCAGCCTGGTCTGCTGGTAGGTGACCCTGCACACAGCAGGGGGTTGGAACTGGATGAACGTTGTGCTCCTTTGCAACCCAGGCCATTCTATGATTTTATGAACCGCTTTTGCAACACAGTCACAGCAAGGTGCTGTCTGTGCAGCAAGCCCTTGGCTAACCCGTCACCACTGTTATTGCCAACAGTAGTGCAATATGTTCAGCAGTACATAAAGTCACTAATTGCAGATCATTCCCTTTCTCGTTCCAGGAGAGGCTTTTATGCACCTGGAGACAGTTGTTTTAACCCAACATTGTCCTTCCCTCCTTCTGCCCCAATTTCACTTCTTGGTCCTGAGAGCACCGATCTCTTCCCACAATGGGAAGGAGAAGACAAGTGGAAAATTTATCTGCAGTCAGAAAATGCTTGGTGTAAATATGAAGGAAAAGTTGCAAATGGAGGAAAGAAGCAGGGCCATATCCTGACTGTGATGGGGGAGGACCCCTCTGGGCAGTGGGAAGCAGGACCCACAGCTGCCAGCAGTGGAAAAAGGCATTGTGGCTACAGCCGTGCTCTCAGTGAAATGATGTGAGAACCCCCAAATCCCATAAATCCCTGCTGTCCCTCACTGTTATGGCTTGGGGCAGCAGGAGAGGGAAGGTTTGCAGATCCACGAGTCAGGCTGCCAGGAAATTACCAGAGAAAATGGTTGTCTGTCTCAATATTAATTTTGTTTAGTAGACGTGGCACAGCAAGCCCACCATACAGCTGTGCAGATACCCTCAGTGCTCCTGGATCTTCAGTGCCCCAGTAGACACATCCAATGCTACACCAACTATCCTGAGGAATGCATATGTTGTTACGTGCAACGCGCTGTTTACAAAGAGTTAACTTACAATTTTGAAAGAATATTAATTTTTTGCACTTCAGACATGAAACTCAATTAAAATGTTGGCACAGCAGTTTGATTAGGAATCTTTCTGTAGGAACCAGCACACAATGCAACGAACACATGTAAATGGAGGCACGGTCTGGTGCTTCCTGGCATGCAAACTCTCAGAGACAAGATCATAACCATGTTGCACTACCAGTAAGCTCACAGTTGGATGCTTATGCAATAAGGTAGTTCTGTTTAGCTGCAGCAATTACATTAGCACAGAAAATACTGCCACATCTCTCACATGCCTTGCTGTGCTCTCCTTCCCCTTCCTAACGTCACTGCTGACCTTTGCTGCAGCCCTTCATGGCTATTTACATTTTAGAACAACCTCTGACAATACGTCTGATTTCTCTATAAGCCACATCCTCCCAAAGCTCAGCAGCACCTGTGGGGCACAAAGGCAGCCACTGAAGGGCATCATTCCCATGGCAACTGCCGGTGATGGGCACGGGTGCTCCTCCTGTATTGCAAGGGAAGGTATCCCTTCCCCGGTGAGCTGTTCATAGCTCATAAAAAACACTCAGGAGTGCCTAGGAGATGTGCTTTTAAAATACAAACAAAATAATGCCTTTACCTGAGAATAAACAGATACCTATCTGCTTGAGACGCAATGATTATTTTCATCTATCTTCTGTGAGGTGATGGCTTGCTTCAATCCAGACTTTTGAGGTGTCTTATCTTGTAGAGACACAGAGATCACACATTGTTGGGAATTTTATGCCCCTGTGAACAGCCTCTTTCTAAGCAGATTTACGGTTCCTACAGATGTATAGATTAAATCTACATTCAGATTGAAAACGCGGGATTTCAGCAGCCACTCAGAGTCCTGTAATACAACAGATGCTCAGGTAGAGCAGACAACCTCCCAGCGTGACACAGCTTTGATGAAGACCAGCACCCCAGCCCTGACCCCACGTACCGGGACATGGAGGGGCTGCATGGGGGCAGGGCATGTTCCCCTGGGGACGTTGCTGCTCCAGAAGCAGCACTGACCACCACCTCACCCCTGGCTGCTTCTCAGAGTGAAGGCTGAACGAGCTCACCTCGCTGCCAGCGGTTAATGATGGCTCACTCCCCTCATGGTGGCCTTGCAAATTTATCTGCAGGAAATTGCCTTCTGCTTTGAATTAAAATTGCACCAATTTAAAAGCAAGATCTGCTTAATTATTACTCCATTCTCCATTGGTAAATGAAACCTCATACCCTGAGTCCATACCATAATGCGTTTTCTGCAGAAATTGGATTTCATGAATCAGCAGGTCTCTGCCTTGCTTACAGGAAAAGAATACATTCTTCTTAAGTACCAAATATTCTGGGAAAAGCCAAGACGGGCAGCACCACGCATGTGATGAATTAGGCCCATAGATGGCAGGATGGGACCGTCCAACACAGCTGCTGGGGATCCTGTGTGTGTGCACTCGGCCACAGGACAGGAGCAGTGTCAAAACCCCACACATCTGGATGATAGGAAGGACTCGGACATGAGTAACTACCAAAATCACCATTCGTTACTTGATTGGAGCCACTACTGCTCTGTGTTTTTCCCACACAGCTCAGTTTGCCCATTTTACAGCTGCTAACAAAATAAAATGCAAGCAGCGTTTCACGAGAGAAAATCCCCTCTGTAGTATCAGGGAATCCATGTTTAATAGGTTCTTACCCTGGGAGACTTTTTTTCTCTTTTATATTAAAAAAAGAGAAACTCTTTCCAGACAATATTAATGCAAACTCTGAAGAAGGATAAATGCCCGCTCCCAAGTCGAATGCTCTTAATTCCCAACTGAAATCCAGATGGCCCTTCGGGAACCTCTCCTTGTTTTGATTAGAATCAAGAAGATTGCAGCACAAACCAGATCCCTCCATCTCAGCCTTTCAGACACACCTCAGCATCTCCCCCACATCTCAGTGGAGTGGTCAGAATCAGACCCCCATTTCAGCACTGCCTCTCACTTCGCGCATCCCACCCTTTCACCACACAGAATGCCTGCTGTTGTTGTTTCTAACAGTGCACTTGGCACTTACCTGAGGTGTTCACCCTCTGCACTCAGTGTACTGTAGCAGTGGGCACGTTACAAAAGAAAAGCAAAGGAAGCTGATAGAATCCTGGCAGCAACAGAACTGCTTTGTTCAAAATAACCCAAACCTTCGCTTTACTTTCTCTGAACTGCAAACTCGCCAAATCCCACTTGCTTCTGGTATAAAATTCCTCTGTTCTCACTTTTTGCATTTTCTGCTTAAAAGATGTGCTGCATTGTGTTCACTTTGTTAATGACTGCTCAAATCTGAAATGGAACAGAAGGAAAGAGCTCACGCTGCCTTCTGCACATTACACTTCTGTGGCAGTGGGTTAAATATCCCGATAGCACCGACACAGGAGAAGCACAGCAAGAACAAAGCTTAGTGATTGCAAGGTAATAACCCTAGGATTTAAGGAGATGAAAATCTGCAGTCCGATTTCCACTGAGGAATATCTTCATGCATGTCTTTCAGTATTATCGCCATGAAAACAGGACAGATTACCACGGAAGTTCAGCTATGAACATCTTTGGATGCCACTAACAGATGGCTAGAGAGTCAAAAAATGTGAAATACTATGAAGTCACGGCTATAAATATCTTTCAAGTAGGACATTTGAGACCCATTTTATGTAAGCTTCATGTAAAGAGTATCTCAGCGCTCTGCTTTGCCTATCCCAGTGGCTGCTGTCTTCATCCAAGGACCCCACGGCACATCCCCTCTGCTCACCCCACTGCCCGGTGTGTGCAGCCAGAGGCGTGCAGTGCAGGGCTGCAGCTCACAGTGCCCCTTGGAGACCTCCTCAGGAGTTCTGAATGGTGCTCACAGTGCTGCCTTGCCCAGCCAGTACAGCAAGGTTGTGCCATGCTAAGTGTCTGTGCCACAAAGCAGGCTGAGCCCTCATGTGTCTTTTTGTACATCCGGGACTTGTTGCTGCCCCCAAAGTGTGGCATTACTTCCAAAACAGAAGCCCTTCTGCAGCACAGAAGAAACAACCAGCTGTGTTATTTCCCACTGCTGAGGAATGTAACGGTATTTGTGTGCCTTGTGATAAAAACGAGGAAAAGAAAAAGCACGCTGACACCTTTCTGCTTTTGAACCCAGGCATGTGGAAACAAACAAGCACGAACACTTGTCACACATCCACGTTACTTACGGTTGAGAGGCAGGCTGGCATTGGTCATCCCAAGCTTGTTGACAGCAACACAGGTATAGTTGCCAAAGTGCTCTTCTGTCACATTGGTAACAGTAAGAAGTGATCTCGTGCTATAATTTTTAATAGTAATTCCTTGTTGACCACTGATCAGTCTAGAAGGTAAGAAAAAAAAAGTCTATAACTTATATACCATAAGCAATAGCCTTTTTGATTTCGTTTTTTTAACAGATATGGCTGATAGCACAGTAATCAGTCTGCACGTGATCCTGCTGAACGAGCTTATCACTGGGGCTGCTTCTGTGCTGGCAGCACTGAAGGGGTGAGGGGAGCAGCCTCAGGCAGTTTGGCACATGGCAGGACTGGAAGCAGCACCCCCAGTGCCCACCTGCACGGACCCAGACTGCTGTACCCAGTACCCAAACTGCTGCAGCAGGGGCAGGGCAGGCTGTGGGTGGGCAGTAGGACAGAGCATGGAGACAGAGCGCTGTCCTGAAGGCACTGCGTGCACTTCTGACTGTTGCAGGAAATCCTGCAGAGGGTGTTTTTCACAATCTGGTGGTTGTTTGCAACCCTGTGCGCCTCTAACTGCTGGTAGATTGGGATTACATAGCCAAGAATGAGACTAATTAGGAAGGTAACCGCAATTTATTTTACAGACCTCTATAGCAACAAACTGTGGTTGCAATTAGGAAGGATGTGCTACCGCAGCACTGCATCCCGAGACAGCAACTTGAACAGAAATCAGGTAACAGAATGCAGGAGAAGCCCAAACACAACTGTTTTCACTGGGCTCCGTTTCCCTGAACCGAGCCTTCCATGGCTCTGTCCCATATGAACTGTGCAGCTTCAGCACTGCTTCCAGGCCATGTCAGGAATACCACTGCTCTGGCACAGAGGAAGATGATCAGTTCAAATTTTGTTGTTGTGTGCAGACCACATCTTGTCAGATGGGAACAGTACCCGTGTTATTAAAGTACCAGCCATAGCTGATAAATCACAGTGGATTCCTCATGTTTCCCATGACACTGTGCCATGCCTGGGGCACAGCGCAGAGCCACGTGGCTGCCAGAGCCTGTGGTCAGCTTTGGTCACCATGAACCACCATGAAAGCACCTGCAGGACCTCCATTTGCTGCTGTAGGAACCTGATTTTGCTGCTGTAGGAACCTGATGCTTTCACTTCTGAGTCAACAACCACATCCCTGCCCAGCTCACTGACTGCACACAGCATTTGCTACCTGTGTGGAGCTCCATTTCGGAACACAATAGCATCTCCATTCATGTGCAGCCACCCTACACATCTCCTTACTCCACTGCTCTGTACCATGAGCTGTACAAGGAAATGGAATCTCCTTTTTATTTTGGAGACTATGCCAATGCATGGAGAGAACACCATGTGTCGGTGCCAGTCCCAGGGGATATCTACCTTTGGTTTCATGTTTGAATGACTTCACACTATTGCAGTATATTAAGCCATTATAACAAGTTTTGTTATTTCAAATGTAGGTCTTGTTTGCTTTATCAAGTAGAAGAGAATTAATATTTTTAGATGAGTGGCTTTTGGGCTTTTTCCCCATGGCTGTTTAATTTCTGAGATGCAGTTCTTCACAGCCCTGTAACACAGCATACTTGAGCAGTTGTGAGTTTCAGATACCAACTCAGCACAGCAAAGCCTCCTCCCCTCCGCAGGGAATCCCTCTGCAGCTTTAGAAGCCAAATGCTATCATAATTTTAAGAAGCTTTTACCAACTTTTCACCCAGTCCCTTTTTAATGTGATGCATTTCAGCGCTTTGGCTCCTGCTCAGAATTTAAAGCCCTCAAGGGCAGTCCCTATACTGGCTTCTTCCCCAGCTCCTTTTCTGGGTGCCACCACAGCTGCCCTGTGACCGCTCTCTGGAGAAGAGATTTCTCTTAATGCCCAGCCTGCCCTGCCCTGGCACAGCACAAAGCCCTGGGAGCTGAACCCCTGTCCTCCCCAGCCTTCTGCCAGGAGCTGTAGAGACCCATAAGGTTCCCTCGGAACCTCCTTTTCTCCATACTGAACTAGCCCATTCCCTCAGCTGATCCTCAGTCCATGTGGGCTCCCCAGGACTGTGTGGTCTGCATGCCCATGGGATGGCAGGTAGTGCTCTGGGTTCCTCCCCTGTTTTCCCCAAGCGATGCTCAGCCCTGAGCTCAGTGTTCCCAGAGCATCACAGCCTCCTGCAAGCATGGCAGGAGTGCATGGAGAGTTAATGAGCGGTGACTGCTGCAAGCCTGGTGAGGAGGGAGAAGCAGTCCTGCAAACACCTCGTAGGTGGAGCTGGACATAGTCTGTGGCTGGTCTTATTTTTAGTTTTACTGACATTTTTTTATGATGAGATGATCCTGGGAGTAGGAATGAACAGTATGTGTGCAGCCCTCCCTGTCCTGTGAGCGGTGCTTTGGAGGCTCCCAGTCCCTCTGTGGCCACATGCGTTTTGTGAGCCTGCTAACAGCTCTTGGACAAACAATGATGTACCATTAGATTTAACAGAATATTTGAGCAGCGAGACACAATAGGACAGTGCTTGTCTTGCTGATTATAGCAAGCCTCAGGTGATACAGCAACTGAAATGGAAAACAGAAGGCACAACTTCCGTGTCCTGAAATGCTCTGCTTATCCTTTCCTGCTGCTCTCGTGACACTGAATGCACTCAAGAAGAAGGGAATTGGTGACTTTTATAAATAGGGAGGTGATTATCATGCTGGAAATGGCTAATTGAATCCAGAGTGCCACGGTCTATATTAAAACCTGTGCTCCAACAGTTTTTTCTGCTCCAGCTCCTCCCCGACATATGCACAATATGACGTGCACCCTTGGAAATAGGACGTAGATGAATTTCTCCAACAGAGGGAAAGTCTGTGCCGTTACATGTAGTAAAGGTTGATTATGGTGTTTTCCAGAATGCTTTGATCCATGGTCAGAGTGCGATGGTTGCCACTGCAGCAGGAAGTCAGGAAGAAGGGAGAGCAGCACTCCTAAGGGGAGCAGCTGGCCAGTGAGAAATGAGCTGACAGATGGTTCCCTATGAAATATGGTCATTAATATTCTCATGTCAGCTCCCATGTGTAATGGGATCCTAGAGCTGATGAGAAACCCAGTGCTCAGAAACCAGGACATTCCAGCAGCTAGAAGGTGTACCCGCACAGCTTCTACCAGGATTTTATCCTGCACCAATGTTTGAACTTCACATTCTGTGAAGATTCAAGATCTCCAGTGAGGTGAGAGTGTAAAGCAAAACCTCCTATTAGAAACCAATCCTACAGAGATGTCTGTGACCTTTACCAAGCACTACCGACGATGAAGCGAAGCTGGATGCAAACACCGGGGTGCACACTGAGGTTGCTGGACTCAGTCTGGGAGCTCCTGCAGAGAGGTGCTGCTGCTGTGCAAGGGCTGTGGGCACCGAGCTGCATTGCAAAGCCCCTTCATGAGCCACCCCTGAAACCCGCGGTGGGAAACCTATGGAGATGGCTTAAAAAACCCATATTCTTAAAAACAATCTCTTTTTATTAGACTTTTCCAGTGGACATTTTCTGGCTGCTGTACTTCAAAGGCTGTAATTACTAAAGCATTTTTAAACCCTAGGCTCATTATGGCAATTATCACCATCACAGCCCAGCTGCGGACAGTCCTATTATGCCTCATCTACCAGCACAGAAACAAAAGCTGAAAGAAAACTCCACGACTCCCCCTGGGCAGCTCTGCAGCTCGCAGTGCAGGCAGGTACTTACTTCCTCTCTCCTCTGTACCACTCAAAGACCGGGGCAGGAACGCCCGCGCCTTCGCACCGGATGAGGCCGTTCCCTCCGAGCATCACTCCGCTGGACTTAAGTTCCTGAATTGTGGGGGCAACTGAAAAAAAAATTGTAAAATAGACATTTGCATACAAATCCGAAGACGGCCGAACTCTGCTTCTCCTCAGCGCTCTCTACGTTACTCAGCCTGGCGCGTGTTTTCCAGCTTGAGTCACATTCAACCGTGTTTTCTTCCGGCACTGCAAAAATGATCCCACACAGCAGATTCTGACACAGATCTGTGTATCTGGTGCAGAAACATAACTGAGACACAGAGAATATTAATCCCACAGCGAACAGTCTGTTTTTTCAATCCGTTCTGCTCCGTTACTCAGAACGAAGCACAGCGATGGCTGTCGGGTCCAGGCAAGGCATGGCCTCAACTCTTTGAAAGGGTAGGGGACAAGGGGAACTGGCTTTAAGTTGAAGGAGGGAAGATTGAGGTTGGATGCCAGGGGGAAGTTGTTTGCTGTGAGAGCAGTGAGGTGCTGGAACAGCTGCCCAGAGAGGCTGTGGATGCCCTGTCCATCCCTGGAGGTGTTCAAGGCCAGGTTGGATGGGGCCCTGGGCAGCCTGGGTGGTGTTAAATGTGGAGGTTGGTGGCCCTGCCTGTGGCAGGGGGCTGGAGATTCATCATCCTTGAGGTCCCTTCTAACCCAGGCCATTCTATGATTCTGTGGCCTCAAAGTGAGGACCACCACCAGCACTGCTCTGCGCTGGGTCCTCTCAGCAGCACTGGGCTCGGGGTGCTGGAGCTGCTTTGGGCACCAAAGGACACACATACCCTGCAGCCAGGACCCAGCCACAGCCACACAGCACGGCAGGGCTGCCCCACCACTACACAGGTACGGGTTTGCTTCTTTAAATACATTCTGTCTTCTGAAACAGTGAACACAGTAAAGGTGGAATAACCATTTCAAGCTCAGAACTGCAGATATAAATAAAGCCAAAAAGCCATAGCTGACCCTCTCAGTTGCCAGCAAAAGGCAACCACCAGCTGAAAACAGAAGACAGCAAACTCCTCGGGAAGGAGATTATCAAAGTTAGGGCTGAACAACAATTGCCTTCCCCCTGGAATTTCGCTTACATTTTCTGTTTTTAAACAACAATTTATGCGCATCATAAAACGCTATAAAAACCCAAACACGGAACTTATAAATAAAAATCTGCTGTTTTTTTTCCCAAGCAATTTTGCAGATGTTGCTGTGAGGCGTGTATGTAGGTACAGAACGTTGGCTGCCTCACAGCTGTGCCCACCACCCCATGGCAGCATCCCGCAGTGCCCAGCACAGCACATCCACACTGAGACAGGTGATGAGGGACTCTGCCAAGAGGAGCAGAGGTTGCCCTGCACAGTCTGCATGTGCCCTTTTTGGGGACGTCCTGCCTCCCTGCCTTACCATAGTGCTTCTAGACACGTTGCCCTTGGGGATGTACAGCTACAGGGCTGAGCTGCTGGAAAGGAGCTCTATGGAGGAGCCGGTGGCGAATTGGGTGACCACCAGCCAGCAGTGTGCCCTGTTGGCCAAGAAGGCCAGTGAGATGCCAAGGTGCACTGCATGGAGCGTGGCCAGCAGGGCAAGGAGGTGCTCCTCTTCTGCTTTTCGCAGCTGGAGCACTGTGCCCAGTGCAGGGCTCCCCAATGCCAGGCAGATGGGGAACTGCTGGAGAGCCCAGCGGAGGGTGCAGAGCTGGTGGGGGACTGGAGCACCTCCTGATGGGGACAGGCTGAGCCCTGGGGCTGTTTGTCTGTGGACAAGAAGGCTGAGGGGGATCTGATCAGTGCTGATTGATATCTGAAGGGTGGGGTTCAGGGCTCTGTTCCATGGTGCCCAGGAAATTCCATCTGGACATGAGGAAAAACATCACTGTGTGGGTAGCAGAGCCCTGGCACAGAGCTGTGGCACAGAGAGGTGCGGGCGTTTCCTCTGGAGAGATCCAAACCCACCTGGATGCTTTGTGTGCATCTGCTGTATGGATATGCTGGGGGGGGCTGGGCTGGGGAAGCTCCAGAGGTCCCTTCCAGCCTCCACGGCTCTGGGATTCTGTGCTTTCTGTGGCAGCAGCCTGGTGCCCTCTGAGCACATCCAGGGTCATCCTGCTCCACGCAGACACCTCCAGCCCAGGTGCCAGGGAGAAATCCTGGGAGATGAAGCAGGGCAGGGTACTGAGTCAGTACATCCGGAAGGCTCTCCTAAAACCAAAAGTGTGGTTTGAGCTGCTGACAGCTCAGGCATTTCAACCACAAACTGTCCAAATCTACTACAGTCAGCAGCTGGATGGGATCCCAACAGAAAATCCCAGCTCAAATTTCTGCATGTGCACTGCAAACCCTCTCATGGCTATGAGCTCTGCCAGCAGCCATGAGCTGCGGGGTGGGACCCTGTGTCCCTGCTGCCCTCCCAGAGGAGCCCGGCTTCTGCTTGCTGGGAGGTCAGGAGAAAGGAAAGTAGCAGCTGATAGTGTTAGCACTGGGAAATCCCTGGCTAATGCTGATGTGAACAGGCAGAAGGCTTAGAATCACCATTCTACCGTATTTTTCACTGTCAGGCTGTTTTCCTTCTTCTAGAACAAACTATACCACGCAGGCACACTTTGGGAGCACTGTCAATGACAATCAGCACAGGTGAGCACAGAGGAGCACCCTGTCCTGGGGCAGAGTGCCACCATGAGGGAAGCTGCCCCGAGTTGGGGAACCATGCAGAAGTGCCCATGGGATTCTGTGGTCGGCATTTGTCTTTTCCTTCCTGCTCAGGAGCAGAAGGGCAGGAGCACAGTGTGTGGTGTCTGCATTTCGGGGACCTGATGGTGATGTCAGGGTCACCAATGTGGCCCCCACACACCCGGGGTGTGCACATCCCCTTTTGTCTCAGTGAAACGACCGAGGCTGTGCAAAGCACTCACGTTAAAGCCTGACACAGCAGTGCTGAGTGCCCCAGGTGCTCCAGCTCCCTCCCAGCACCTCTGTGAGCAGCCATCACCTCCACTCCCTCTGCTACAACCGCTCCGCTCGGCTGCTGCCACCAACACGAGTGCATGAGTCAGCCTTTGGGCTGCGAAACCCAGCTCTGCAACTTATGCTCCATCCAGAAATGATGCAGTGCTCTGCACAGTCTGGTTTCCTACCCAAATATTTTCCCTTTGCTTTTAAATGTCTGAAGGAACAGCAACAACAATGCGTGACACACGCTGGCGTTCGGGCAGGCACAGCGGATACGCAGAGCCCTCTGCTACAACAGGTTCCATCTTTTAACATTCTAATGAGCTTCGGGACTTTTATGCATATTAGTTATGTTGCTCTAATTACTCATTATAATTCTAATGTGCATTTTATATTTAATTACAATGCTTATAAAGATTTGGTATGGGCAGTAAATTATTATAACTAGCATGTGCATAATGATTAAGAGCTGAATTTATTAACTTTTACACTAGCATTCAGGGCTGGCAACTTTCAATTTCACCTTTGTGATTAACTGTATTGTCTGATTAAACCAACATTTTTGTGGTATTAATTGTAAATGTCAAAAAAAAGTCTTTTATTTATTTCCATCAGCCTTTAATTTGGCATCCTAACGCGTTCTTTTATTAGCAAAATTGCTCTCTGGTGTGTTAAGAGGGAGCCTTTCAGGTAAGAGAACAGGTTTCCTAAGATCTCCTTCAGTTTGCAGAAAGCCAGACACGAGCACTATTGATGTATTCACTTTGTGTAGATGTATTGCACCTTCCCAATAAAGCAACAAATCTGCCCAAGCGAAGCAGTATTACTCACACTGTTGATAATGAAAGTGCTCTTCCAGCAGCCCACAGACTTCTCTTTCTCTGACAAGCAGCAGCCCCTCTGTTCTGTTCCCAACTCAATGGTTTCACAAAGCTCTCCTTCCAGCAGAAACATCTCTGGGCTGGGGCAGCATTTCAGGCAAACACTGTGCATCAATCCCTTTGCCAAACAACCGAAAACCTTATTTTTTTCCATCTTTTCTTGAAGGGTTATCAAAACATATTGAATTCAGCAGGGTCTTGATGTGTACATCTGCCTAAGTGCTACACGCAAACACACAACCTGCATTAAGAGTTCAGTGCAGCCCCTGCATTTCCAGATGTGGCCTCTTTTGTGTTTCTCTCCTTCCTATTCAGGATAACAATCCCAGAAGGTGTGCTCTGAGCACGGATTAACTGAAGAGCCATGGGAGCACCTGGAGCTGTAGGGAAGGAGCAGATCCTAAGCAGCCCGCAGCCCCATCCCACACAGTGCAGGCACTGCAGGGCTCCCCAGGCTGTGCCTCTCCCGCAGCTCTGCCCAATGGATTATTGCATTATGGCACATCACAGAATCACAGGCTGTGGTGCCGCCTGTGCCTCCCGAATTTAAAACCTCCTGGCGCTAAGATGAGAGGAAAGCTTAAAATCCAGAAGTAATTGTTTCATGGGGGAAAAGAAGCCACACAAAATAACACAGGGTGAATAATAGGCAGCAGAAAGAAATGCTTAATGATGCGTTTTACAGGTGCTTGAGTGACAGGAACGACGAGGAGCAACCCTACCTCCAAGACCTGACAAAGCCAACAGCCACCCCCAGAGCCCAGCAGACACAGCAGGTGGGCACGCAGGCGGGGGCTGCTCTGCTTCCTGCCCATCAGGCTTTGTCTAGCTGCTCGCTCACCCAACCCTTCTGTTCCCCAGCAGGGCTGAGTCCCAGCTGTGTCCCACCCATGCATGTGGCCCTGGCCCTGCTGATGCTATTGGCTGGGGGTGGGCACAGAGCAAACCCCGTGTCCATGCAGGGCCATTTGGAGGGAGCAGATGCACCATACAAGACCAGGGTGATGTGCTCACTGCTTGGCACTGCTTGGTACACCAGAGCAGGGCTTCATCTTCCATTGGCCATTGAAGCGTGATTAAAATTAAACTGATGTCAAAATCTTTATGTTGATTTCAGAGGGACTGTGGACGAGGCCTTGTAAGATCAGCAATGAAAGGGAATTTCGCAGTCTTCAAAACAAAGGCAAAAAGCACGATGGCAACAAAACTGTTCTTTGCATCGCTGCTCTTACCACT